TCGTTATTTTAACAAAATCCGCTTTGATACTTTTTTACTGTATATATTCAATATACATATATGTAGATATAGATTTCGAATTTTCTTTTTTCCTACTTTGTGAATTTCAAAGACAATTAATTTTGTTTTTATTACTTAACTATTCGTTGTTGTGTTCCCAATAAAATTATAGGTAGATATTTACTATTTAACATTTACCTATAACTTTACATTCTGATGCGCTGACTAATTTAGTTATAGATTCCTGCCTATTTGTGAGAACACGATAGAACGCTGTTCTACTTTGATGCTCTAACTTAGTTAAATGAGCGGAGCGCGGACTTATGCAAGTTGATTATATTATGTTCTAACCTAGATTCATGGACGAATTGTGGTTAATTCGTTCATGCCTAGATTATAGATAGCTATTCCTGTATAATACTGTAACGCTGCAAAATATTTACACGAATATGGCTGCCGTTAAATATTTCTTTTGCAATTTCATTATTTTATTTCATAATTATTAATTCACTAGCATTGCCCGCGGCTCCGCCCGCATTAAGATGACCAAGAACCAAATTCTTAGGTTTTATATTAGTATACTCTTACAATTCAGTTTTTGTACTTTTCCTCAGAAATGATATATTTTCCCGCGGTAAAAAGCACCCTATATGTTGACCCGGAAACCAGCTATCACCATACCAAATTTCAGCAAAATCCCTCTAGTGGTTTTTCTGTGATGCACTAACAGACAGACAGACAAAAAGATCTAAAAACTATAGATTCGGCCTCTGTATCGATAATAATGTTTGTTTCAATAAGATTTTCAAAAAAATATTTAATGTGCACATTCGGCTTAGTTACAGTTTTATTATATGTACAGATTATGGGAAATTTTACTGCAATTTTATTTTTCCTCCGACGGAGTGCTGAAACGGTTTAAGTGATTCAGTCAGTCATGATTAAATAATTCAAATGATTATACCTACATTATGCATTATAATAGAACTAAGAAAAGTAGGTACTACGAGTATTGAATATCATTGTTCTGTTTTATAAAAATTAGCTGTCATATTTTCGTTTAAGCTACCTTTAGTCATCTTTATAGTTGGTTAGTCTAATGGCTAGCATGTAGGTACGTGTAGCGAGGTCCGGAGTTCGATTTCCGGTTCGGACTAAAACGTTAACAGATTTTTTTCATCACGAAATACTCTCAATATTAGCCCGGAGTTAGAGAGCTGGCGATGTAACACCCCCGTGTCTCAGAGACCATGATAAATTGTCGTTCTTGCCCCTTTTCTCTCACCGGTCATGTCAAAAAGTCGCCCACCGAAATGTAAGTTAAAGCTTTACAAGTTAAATAAAAATTGCAGTTACGTCATTTCAAACAGATATGCACAATATCTCGTGCATTCGGCTAGTTTCAGTAAGATTGGCTGACATAACGGAAATCGGTTAAGACGTATTATCTACCTACCGTTTTCCATCCAATGTCATGTATTAAACAATACACATATCTTTATCTTATATATCTCTACATAACAATAGTGTGAAATTCTCAATTGTAAGCGAGTTTAGTGGACTACGGACCCGTGGTTACAATGTTTTGTTACACTGGTGTAACTAACGAGCATATCTATGATCGATGGATTCTCTAATGTAACAACCGAGCATACCTATGACCGATGGTCACATTATTACATCAAAGACTATTTATTACGTAGGGTATATGTTTGAAGTAAACAGACGGTCAGATACGGTTAGGTTAGGTAACTTTTATTTTTTGATTATGTGACAGGTCCGACTTGGATAACGTAGGTTGAGAAGCCTAAGGAGGGAGCTGGGTTTCAATCGGAAGAACACTTTTCCCAACGTGCGTTCATCTTGTCGTAATGGGGGGCTCAGTAGTGCCCGGCAATCCAGCCGGGCGCGAAGCCTAGAAACGCACAGGGAGGTGGCCCACTTCGGTGGGCGGTGGGGGTAGCCCATTTCGATGGGCGGTTGCTCCTGTTACTTCTCTGATAGCAGAGTGGACTGTGGAACAACCCCATGGTTATTGTGGTCTGCTTCGGCAGACCTACCGTCGGGGCGTCGTAATTGAGTGCGTAAGCGATCCTGCGTCTAAATAGACGGGGGAAGATTTTGTTGGTTTTAGTGGGTAGTACTGGCTTTTCGAGCCTGTAAATCTCACATAACCACCTGTATTTTTACGGGTGGTATGCGTAAATGCATTTCCCAACATTAAAAAAAAAGGTTAGGTTAGAGCAGTGACAAAGCACGAACTGAGCGAGCGAAGCGACTGTGCCGGGGCAGCATCCAGCGAGTGCCATAAACGATTAGAACTTTTAGAACCAAAAATGCTTTGGAACCATTTAAATCTTAAATGAAACAATTGTAAATGAAGTTAATTTTAATGGCTAACCTAAAAATAATCAAAGGTTATCGTTTTCTTAGCGCAACCATCGGTTATAGATATACTCAGTAGTTACACCAGTGTAACAAAACAGGGTAACCACGGGTCTGAAGTCGTTTAGTGTACATATCAGTAATTATATTCAGTACAACCAAGTATTATGGTAGGTTGGGACAAATATTTTTTGACAATGTCCACCATCAATTGATGGAAACCACCTCGATGAGCCTCAGATGTACCATGCGAGTTGCATTTGGCACTTGTCTGATAGGAGAGTGAAACCTGGGAATACCTTCCTGGTCGTCTAATTCGGCAGGCTAGCCGTTAGTACGTTATGGTTAAAAAAATGTTTTAAAAATTTGAAAATCGCTTTATATAGAGATCGAAACCAAAACATTACTCGTACTCCGTACATTGGGTTGCCATTACTTGCTCCTATTGATAAATGTGGTATATGCTCGTATTGCCTGTAATCATACCTTTGTTCGTCTTTTAACAGAGCAATGGATACAGGATGCACGTAATTTTTCCCATATGAGTATAAAAGTAAGTCTGCTTTTACTAACTAGCATTGCCTGCGGCTCCGCCCGCGTTCCGATGAGCAAAAATCAAATTCTTAGGTTTTACATATTAGTATACTCTTACATTACAGTTTTTGTATTTTTTCTCAGAAATGAGATATTTTCCCGCGGTAAAAAGTATCCTTTATGTTGACCCGGACAACCAGCTATCACCATACCAAGTTTCATCAAAATCCCTTCAGTGGTTTTTCTGTGACGCGGTAACAGACAGACAGACAAAAATTCTAAAAACTATAGATTCGGCCTCTGTGTCGATAATGTTTATTTCAATAAGATTTTACAAAAAATATCTAATGTACAGATTTGACTTAGTTACAATTTTATTATATGTATAGATTCGAGGTTTAAAAAAAACGCACGGTTCTGTTCACATTCAGTTTATTAATCTAAAGTTGAATATGGAAGTATATATCTCGTAGCATATAATCTACTACATTATCTATTTAATATGTGTTTGAAGAAAAATAGTTTAAAATTTATTCATATTTAGTGCCACAAGTTGCACATTCGTTACAGTTAGGACGCCCAAGAATGATCATTTTATCCTTTTAAAGAATAATTATTATAGATTAATATTTAAGACGAAAAGTATTACTAAATACTAAAATGCGATATATAAGCATTTATAGTTGAGCCTGATATTCTTAATAGCAATAACCCAGCTGTAAAATTTATATAACAAATTTAGTAAGGAGTAATACTAATCATTTTTTTCAACATTCAATTATAAATGATATAATTGAATAACATTTCATTGTTAAATCATTCGTAGTCGCCCTCTGAGACCGCTATTATATGCTTTTATATTTATATTAGTACTATTATATTTAAGCAGAGTGATAAAGTCTTACATATGTATATATTTCAATCTAATTTGTATAAAAATGAATTTTTTCATCCGAAAATGTATCGTATATTTCATTTTTTATATTTCATTCAGTCAAAATTAAATACTTTCAATATAATACCAAAAAATATCTATAAATATCTGTTTTTTTATACAAATTAGATTGAAACTTAGAAATTGAAATTGCTATCTAAATAAAAAAAATGAATATAAAAAAATACAAAACAACAACAGTTCGACAAAATTACAATACAATAAATAATAAAAGTGATGAAAGCTATAGTTCGTATATTTCACACACATAATTCATTACTTGTATTTCCTATAAGACTACTTTATCTAAATATTAATGATTACATTAATAACAAATATATATGTAGACATAAAAAATTGGACTTAATTGTTTAAAATAGGTTACGAAGCAAAATAAATAAAAAAAACTCCTTCGATATCCTTCTGGGATTACAGGGTATCTTAGAGATTAGAGGTATGTTAGAGATTTAGGATGTTTAACTAAATAAAATAAAAATAAATATATATTTATTTAATTAAAATTGGAATAACGAACAAAATAATTGATGTATGAATTTTTTTATTTACAATTACATAAGATCTTAGTACTACAACGTGAATGGACAATGTATAAATAAATATTTGTGCATTAACGAAATGAAAATTCACTTCATTTAAAAAAAATGAGTAAAGAATGGCGATTAACGTTCACGTCGATAGCAATATCGCAACGTAAGAGAACGTAATTACTTATTCCTATTACGGGAGTTAACACATTTATTTTAATATAACATACCAATCGCCAAAATATGATAGCCTCAGAATAAAAAAAGTGGTTTTCGGGGAGGGAAATTGTCTTTTAAAAATAAAATTAAAAAATTAAGAACAGCAAAAAATAAGATAAAATAAGGCGTAATTTTTGGACAGATTTATTGATAGAATAATAAAAGCGTATATTAAAATAATTTACAAGCCTCGAAGATATAAATAAAATAGAATATATTAAATTTTATCTGAAAAAAAAGATACATGAAAAAAAAAACAACATATCTGAAAAAAATAAGCAGACCGAATATAAAACTATAAAAAAGCACTTACGCCTTTATTATTCTAAAAAAATGATAGGTTAATAAACTTAAAACAATATAATGATAAATACATCAATTTACATCTGTAGACGCCTCATTTTCCGTTCCATTTTCCTGCGTTTCTTCTCCTCTTGCTCGGTGGGATCCTGAGGGGCTTGTTGGAAGAACCATGGACCAAGTATATTGGTCCAGAGCAACCACAATGCACGGAGAGGCAAAAATAGGAGTAAAAGCCAGAAATAGTTTGAGCAAACGGCCAAAACGTGGGTAATTGATGCCAGAATGACGATATCCTTAATATGCCTGCAAACAAATATTGTGTAATGAGGAATAATTGATATTATATGTATTAATTATGTAAATACGATCAACTGTTTGTATTGCTTCATGCTTGCATAGTTTTGTTTAAATTGAATATATGTACATTTAAAATAGAACCTATTGGAAGGCTATGGTATCGTTTGTTTACAAGTTATGCATACCTATACATACATATAAATAATAAATATCCTCTTTAATTGTAAAATGTTACTTGAACAATTTCAGTTTATTTAAATTAGCATTTACTTCAATAAATGAATATTTTTTTCATTTAGTGCAAACTATTTTATTGCCGTCCGTATTTCCATCGCAAATATAGTAAGTAGCAAGTCAAAATCTGCATGTTGTACGATTATTAAATGTCAGAGAATGCATAATTAGAAATACTTTGAAATCGCCAACAAACCTTGGTCTATACAAAAAGCATTATATGAAGCAGTTTAATCAAAAAGTTATATTATGTTCAAAATGTTATACCGAGTGTTTTGTTCATATTTCAAACAACTATTTAAATTTTCTAATGCTAGCTTTAAACCTTATTTGACCGACTTTAAAAAGGAATAGTTCAGTTCTATATTATATAGGTACTGTAGGCTTACTTGGTGATGTGTGTAGTTGTAGAAGGAAAAATAACGTTAACTAAGTCTTTTAAACATTAGTTAACTATTTCTTTTATACAAACATGTATTAATTATTAAACACGATACACAGAAGAGACAGTTTATAACACACATTAATAGTCCAAGAGCACATACAATAAAAGAGTTAAAGACATAAACGAATACTAGTAAATATTAAGAAGATAGAAAATTAACATATAGCAATTAACGAGTACGTATAACTGAGTGGCGTAATTACAAGCGACACGGGCTTCGCGTTGCAATAGCATTTGTCGAGTGTGGCGTGCAGCGCGGCGCTCGCGCCTCGCGCGGGTCACCTTCAAGTTAAAGTATTATTCCGGGAGAAGGAGTATTACGGAACATCTATATTAGAAATATTATATTTTAACATAATAATTTAATTAATTGCTATTATAAGATAAGTTAGGCTACAGTACTATTTAGAACAAATAATCCCTCCAAGCGACCAAACGACTAAGGAGATCGACAATAGGATAGCTTACGGCTGGAAGAAATATTGGTATTTGAAGGAAGTGATGAAAAGCAAAGTGCTGGGAATCCATCTCAAACAGAACATATTTGACACATGTATCGTACCATATTCGCTTGACGTACGGCTACGAGACCTGGTCACTAATAAAACTTCACAGGTAAAAACTTGCAAAGTGTCAGCGTGCAATGCTAAAAGCTAAACCTAAGTAAGTATATTGGGATTGAATTTAAAAGACAAGATCCGCAACATGACTTGACATCAGGTCCAAAACAAAAGTTACCAACATACGCGAGTTGGACCAACTAAAATGGAGGTGGACTGGGCACCTACTAAGGAGAAGTGGAGCAAACGTGTGACGGTCTGGTACTCCAGGAATGGTAGACGTAAAGAGGACGCCAGTTAAGGAGATTATTGATTAGCAGTAAACTCGTGACGTTCAGTAAAAAATTGAAAAAATTTAATGCGAAATAAAATATATTGAATTTAATTGGAGGATGAGATCCGTCAAACCTAGGGCCACAGTGTAGAGTCCAATGGAGACAGTTGGAGGAGATTTTTGCCAAAGGGCACAAGGAAATCAGACATATTACGTAAATTGTTACTCCTGTAATAAAGACTATTTTATTAGTTAAATACTATAATTATTGTGCTACAAATTAAAAAAAAAGTTTTTTGCATTTATGTTACCAATATATTTGCCAGTTGTGAACGGTATCCATGATTATTAATAATTACATAGATAACAGAGTAATGCCATAAAAAATATTTTAAATTGCTTTTGAGGAGAGTTAACCTTATTAGTTAAAAAATATATTTAATACACTCTATTGTACCAAAAAAAAGGGGCCCTGAGATACTAGGGTTAGTCACATTAGATATACAATAATCTATTAAAGAAACAATATTATAAAAGCAACAATTTATAATTATTTTCGTCAGTCCACAGTAACTACCACGCAAGCGAAGTCGCGAGAAAAATGTAACATATCAAGCATTCTTTGAATGAATTAAGTAATTCATATTTAATATATTTTTGTCACTCACTCTCCCATACCGCCTTCCATGTTCAAGTCCAGGCCGGGGTCCACAAGGAGGCTGTTGTCGGAATAGCGAGGCCGACTTATATAGCACATCATCTGGTAGCACGCGATGTAAATTAATGTCACAAACAGATTCAGGAACTGAAACAAATATAATTATTTATATCGTAATTCATTATTTTTAATTAGTATACCATTTGTTTTATAAAATTTTTTTTAATAAAAAATAAAAATATCAAAATTATAGTTTGTATTGCATTTTTTTCATTTAAAAAATGGAAAACTACTCACTATGCTTGTATAGGATATGCTCTCAAAATAAAAGCCCATGGTAACGAAATTATAAAATAATCCCGCTCCTAAAGCCATGTTCCTATAGAAATACACTGTTGCAGTGTTTTCAGTCAGAATTTGCTTTGCACCCTTGGTTGGGGCCTTACCCTTTTGCTGAAAAAAAAAAAATAGATTATCTCATTACTCTTTAAAACTACAGTAATATCGAAATTTAATATTGTTTTTTTCAAGTTAATGTACTGTATTCGGCCCTTTTTTAACGTCCCATTGCTAGGCCCGGGCCTCCCCTCGATACGAGGGGGATCAGGCCATAGGCCACCGTGCTGGCCAAGCGCGGGCGGACTTCAGTAATCATATGTCTTTCGAAAACTTGCTAGGTTCTCTCAGACATTCAGGTCTCCTCACGACGTTTTCACTAAATTAATGTACCTACTGCACTTATTTTTATTATAAATTTATTTTTTTCTTAAATGTTACCATTTACAAAGAGAAGCTTCAAGTCTGCACATTGCAAGTTTGTTAATTCAGCGTACGCGATTTTAATACGTTATGATTAATTAATTATAGTGTATATATAAAATCAAGTCATTTTTTCACATATGAATCCAACAAATTTTATTATCTATGTACTATATGTATGTATGTCTTCATATAAAAGTGTTTTAGTCTACATTTTTTTAGAATTTTTGCCTGTCTGTCTAGGTTTTATATCGGGCATCATCCTAAAACACCGCATGTTGAATAAATAAACAAAAAAAAAGATATAAATTTAAACTGTAAGAACTACAATTTAAATTTATGAAAAAAGTTTTTACCAGACACCATAACTAAAATCTATTCTAGGCCTCTGTAGAAAATGGGAAAAACGTTAAGTCATTGTTGATAAAATAGAAATATATGTACAATGTACATATATGCAGATACAGCCGCAGGCATTGAATAGTGAAAAATACAGTTATTCCATAATTGTCTTGTATATAAATGTATTTTTTTTTCTTACTGGCGGCATGTAGTATCTATTCCTGTTTCCCACACTGAGAAGCAGCTTTACGCCTTTCTTGTACGCCTCCTTTAAAACCTAGGGTTGTGAACAACCCTAGTACAGCTCTTTCTAAAACAAAATAGAAATTGTTGTAGCCTTATAAAAATTTTATTCATAGCATTTGAAACAACTACTTATATATACTTTCTTAGATTTATGTGATTATTTGACATTTCTAATTAAACTTTTTTCACTGTTTTATTTTGTATATTCATGTAAGGATATATATATATATATATATATATATATATATATATATATATATATATATATATAGATATATTTCATACATATATATACATGAAATAAACCGATGTCATATAGTATATGATAAAATATTGTGATTATACCAAAAGTAAGCACTATACTTATTAAAGGTTTTAAGTAAAATAAAGCATATTACATATCATTTAATCATCATCATTTTCTTGCAATAATTTTTATCACATACATTATACATAGTCATCATGTATAATTATAAAATATACATAAAGTATAAAGTAAAATTGTAACGTGGCCTAATTTATATTTATAATTTCAAAAGTTAAATTTGCTGTTTTAAAAAAATATATGTCTGTGTTATTACAAACTCTGACAGAATCACTTTCAATGAGACTTTTTTACTATATAGATAACAAACAGAACAAAATGTAGCTTAAATTTTTTTTCATTCGCTTTAGCACATATTCAAAGTTATTACTTGGGCTCCACGTTATACATGTTTCTATATAAGACAAGTTGTTAACTAGAAGAAGGTAAAATTTGTGAGTTTGGATGGACGAACTAAACTTTATTAATATAATAATATCCTTAAAATTACTAATACAATGCTATTATCCCCAAGTGGTGCAAGGCTTCAGAAATTGGATAGCCAGAAATTGTATTGCCATAAGTTACCAAAAAATTCGCCAGGATATACTTGGTCCAGAGCAAGGAAAATATGTAGTTCGCTATTGTCATATAACTTTTTAATTTTCAAAATAATGCATGATTGAAATAGGAAAATAATGTAAATTCAAAATTTTGAGTTTTGTCTATTATATTTTTTTTAAATACATATAACCAAAACAAAAAAAAATACATCATGTAAAATACCTAATGTCAATTCATTTTCATGACACTAAATAAATTTAACAGTAATGTTTATACAAAAAACTTGTTTATACTTTGTAACAGTAATTAATACAAGTAATAGAATTCAAAAAGTGGCTGTATTGTGAATGTGCATGAAGTGAATGTACTAATGTAGGAAAAATGTTAGTTAATAAATTTAAATTTCTAATGATCTGGATAATGTTAAAACTATAGGTAGGAACTAAATAAAATTTAATAAAGATTTTATGTGGTTACCACCATAAAGGTTTAACTAATCTTTAAAACCATCAACAAATAACTAAAAACGGAATTATGTACAGATTATACTTTAGGAATGTTAACATCAAATTTTACACATATAAAATAAGAATAAATTCTTTACATTATGGTTTATTTTCTCCATATAAGAAATAAAATAATAACAACGAAGTTAATTACTTACCTAACGCACAGCCACTGAATTTAGTGAATTATCAAGTAAATTTAAATATATAGAAGATAGATGTAACTTTCACAAGTGCAATTAAACAATCTAAGTATTCAAAGAGTACCTAGACTCGAAAATGACTAGGGAGACAGCTCTATGATCCGGGACCACAGCAGCAATGTCCAAATTGACAAAAAGTCTGTCTAGTGTCAAGTTACGTCACGACTCATGACGTCTACCAAAAGTCACTCATCTATGTGGCGTGTGTTCAGAAATACGATAAGCAATTCAGAAATTTACAAAATATTACAATATAAATGTCTTAAATAGCAAAAGTTTAATTCAGAAACATAAATATAAATTTATTTAATTAAATACTTTGCAAAAAATATACTAATATATATTAGTGTCACAGACAAAGACTAGAGTTTTAAAAATATATTATAGTCTATCTATGTCCTGCTGGGTACACACCGACCCAATTAACGCCAACGACGAAGGATATTCAGCGTTGACTACCGCACGTTCGTTGGCCTTCGAAGGTACGTCCAATTACATTTAGAGGTAGAGCAAACGTTCGTTGGCACCTGATTCCGGCTTTCAATTGCAATTTGATCATGGATGACGATGAAATAAGTATAATTACTAGTTTTATAAACCTTAACGAGATAAAGCAAGGACAAAAAAAAATCAAACGAAAGCGGAGATGGTGGACAACCACATATTTTAAGAATAGAAATGTGTATAGTGGAAGTAAAATGATTGCAGACTTACAAGTAGAAAAAGAATATTGTTTATTTGTCAATTTTAGCAGAATGTCTTTTCAGGATTTTGAATGGATGTTGAGATGTATTAGACCAGAAATATAAAAAAAAGATACAAATTATCGTGAAGCAATTACATCGCAGGCACACGCCAACGAACGATCGTTGGGGTTCGCTAAGTTGTCCAGACTAGACAGGGCCAACGAAATCCATTCGTAGGCGTTCGTTGATTCGGTGTGTACCCAGCATTATAAAATCCATAAAAACATTCTCGTATGTTAGGTAAAGACATGTACGATTATTTTACTTAAAGTTTAAGTGGCTGTTACTCATTATTATTATTTCTTAATAATAAAATTAAGTACCTACTCCAATATTTCATTTCATTTACATGTTACATGCATGGTTACATTCTCTTTGGTTAGATGGTTCATGACGCGGTTGCAGAAAGAGGCACATATACTATGAGATATTTTTAATAATATTTCCCAAAACTTAATCTAAAAGTTAAATTTTACAAATATCACAGACTTATAATAAAAATATTATTATATTTATAAAATAAAATACATTTTATGACAAACTTTTTGTAAAGCGAGAGTGTGTTTAAGTTTTCCGTTGAAAATATTTTGCTCTCGCAACTCGCTGTACCGACTACCGAGTGAGAGAGCAATTTCGTTTCGTTTTATTGATTTTGAATGAATTTGTCTGAAATGAAAAACTGAGTGGAAATTGATAAGAAAACTACAAATTACCTTTTGGCAAACTTTAAAGAGAAGCTTCTATAAAATATGAAACTTGTAAATGACATTGTGTACAAACCTTGACCCTCAAATTAGAAACTACATTTTAGGAAAAAAACTTTCGGTGGGTATATTCTCTTAGCGAAATATATAGCAAAAATTTTATTGACTATAGTTTATAATAGTGAATTATCGGTTGCCCAGTTTATAAATTGTGTTAAGTGTTTGTTATTATTTGTTCTAACCCTAATCTAAACGTGTCACTAAAATTCTTATTAGAAGAGCAAAGCGAAATTGCAAATATAAATATATTGCACTGTGTAATTGGCAGCGATTGGACATATTTATAATTCTTAACCTTCTCAACGAATCAGTCTACATATCTATATAGAGTGAATTCTATATGATAAGTGTTGAATTATAATGAAATCAGCTATGTTACAGATAGCAAAGTTTTATTATTTAGAATTTTATTCTAATTCTCATTTATATGATCTCAATTTAAGTTTTTTACATATCCAGTAATTTTATAGCTTAGATTTAGAAACAATTTTATTTAACACTAGTGGCTAACATTCGCTTTGCTTGGGTTTGCCTCTAGAAAAACTAAACGAAACTTATCCCACGGGAACCGTATAATTTTTCGGAATAAAGGTAATCTATAGGCTATTCGAGACTATAGTCTATCTGTGTGCCACATTTCATCCAGATCCATTCAGCTGTTCTGGTACGAAAAAAAGTGGGAATTAAAAAAAAAAAATAAGATGACTAATGCAATATGCATTAGTCTCATAGCATCAACATATTTATTCAAATTTGATTGCAAAGCAAATGTATGATATTTGAAGCTTGTGTTATTTATATATAATTTATATCATTACCAAGAAGCAAAGCAAGTTCCTTGTTACATGAAATAAATTTTGATGTAAATATAACATTGATACATTATCTTTAATTATTTAATATATTAGTTGTGTGCTTTTTTATAATGTATCACAATCATACAAATGTGTTGTGGGTCAGTTATATATACTTATTTTTTTCTAGATAAACAATATAAATGATACGAGAATTTTACGATAGTTCCGATGAAGATGAAATGGAAAGTCAGTATCCGATAGATCCAGAATGCTTGGTTCTAACTCGGCCTGATCGCGATATGCATAACCGTTGCTGTGGGGGTAAAGCTTGGTGCATTAAGGTATTAAATTTTTTAGATTATTTAAGCTAAAAGTGCTAAGTTATCGAAAGCAAAAGAATCTAACACAAATACATTTTTAATACTAATTAATATTACTACAACTCAAGTATCTCTGAAATCAATATTTTTTTTAAATAATCGAATGAGGGAAGTCAACTAAAAATAACAAACATCAAGTAATACAGATATATAAATAAGTATACATATATTAAACAAATGGTAAGCATTAAGATTGACATTTTAGGGCCTATCCACTCTAGTGCTAGTGATAGTGTGAATGCACTCATTGTTTCTTGTATAACAATACTTTACGAGAACAATATCGTATCGAGAGCAAACAGCAACTGAAAGAAAAGAGAGTGGATTGGTCTTTAATGTTAAATGAAAACTTAAATACCTTTAATTTTTTTTAAGTAAATTTTAATACTGCTTTACAAACTATGACTTGTTAGTGTACAAATAAAATATGTATCATACAATACCTTACCTTGATCTATGAAAGCTGAATGTTTAAATACAAACCCAAGTATATTCTTTTTACATGCTAATTTAAATTGTAGAATATGATGATATGTTAAAACTTAATATAAATATTAGTACTTGCTGTTAAAACTTTATATATTTACATTTGTTTAGACAAATTTATTTGGGATTTTTTAAATTTTGAGAAGATTGAAATTAAAAATTAATTTGAGATGTATGATTTTAAAATTTTGAGAGAAGTGAATTTAGATGGTTAGTGTTTGTTTTTATATATAATGTGGGTTGTTTGTGTATATTATAACTATTAGTAGTGACAATCATATATTAAGCTTACTAGCGGCTCTCAATCGCTTCGTTCGGGTTTGCTCTAGAAAAACAAAAACAAATCTATCCCACGGGAACCGTACATTTTCCGGGAAAAAGTAGTTAAGTAGTAAGTTATTCCAGACTATAATCTATCTATATGCCGAATTTCATCCTGATTCATTCAGCCGTTCTTGTGTGATTGAGTAACAAACATCCCCCCAAACTTCCACATTCATAATATTAGTATAGATTACCATTAGCTTAAATAAAAAGTTAAATAAACAACTATTATTTAAGGTAACATTGATTCTACATAACATGAATGTTGGTAAGCGTAACTACTAATATAACTCAAGAATGGCTGGACCAATTCGGCTAATTTTTTTTCGTATGTTCCTTAAGGTCCACGGAAGGTTTAATAAAAAAAAAATATATGGCTAACGCTGGCTAATAACTATTTATATCTATTTAAAACGTACCTAGCGACAAACCCGAGCGAAGCAAGGGTTAGCCGCTAGTATATTATATTTTATGATGTCCGCCTTTCATCATCAATCAATCAATCAACAATATATTACCTAAACATTATTTTGATCGTTGACTTGGGCGTTACAAGTTTATTTGTTTCTTTGTTGAAAATATTAAATGGGTCGCTATTAGCAAATGCTCGGATGGTTCAATTCCTATTATAAAATTTCCAAATTTTACTATTCTGTTAAAAAATAAATAATGATTAATATTAGAATTACAAGGGATAATGTTACACACACAAAAATGCGCAATATATTGCATTTTTAATATTAAGAAATTTTATGATGCCTATTATTAAGATTAGCGTGACATAATTCAATAGTTTTTTATGTGCAAGAGTTTACAAGTGCCTATTAACTTCAATGGGTTATTTGCATCATTGTGAAGATATAAGTAAGGCAGTAGAAAAAGCGACCGTGTATAGCTTTTACAATGTTAGAAAGCGCTCACGTTATTTAATTTTGTTCTTAAATATGGTAGTACAAAAATTTGTGATATCTATATTTTTGAAGTTATACTTCTTTTGGGATATTTGGAAAAAAATATGAGAGTCAAATTTTACGATGCGCGCGCACACCGACAGCCAAAAATCAACATGATGAAGTTAGCTGATAACTGTTTGTTGCCACGGTAACCGTTGTTATTGTCTTACAAATGATAAGGTCCTTAAATGATATTCTATAAATATATGATTGTAATATTCATAATATGCCTTATTTAATTATTTTTTTAATTTATCATTCCTTTTACAAACAGAGAGTTGTGACATACGGAATGAAATCTTTAGCTATTTTTGTTCTGTTACGCCAAAGATGTATAACTTCGTACGTGCGTACATATGTACACACACACGTTTTCCGGTAGTAATCTATGATATTTATAAGTTTTGTTTCTTATTTATTAATTTATTTACCTTAGTAAAGTTTAAATCACTTATTTCTTTTATGAGATATCTCTTCCGGATTCCATTGATTGAGCAAAAGACAATTTATCAATAAAATCTTTTTTTTCAGGACATATGTGGGATTATATGTGCAGTCTTGACATGGCTGCTGATACTTTACGCGGAATTCGTTGTGATGATGGTCATGCTCCTGCCCGGCCTAACGACCTACCCCATATACAGTTATATAAATATAATAATATTCCAAACTCTAGCGTTCCTTGCTTTCGCTTCACATCTAAGAACAATGTTCACAGATCCAGTAAGTTGTTTTTTTTTTTAATTTCAATGAATACATACTTGATTATATTGTGCCTGCTTACTAAATTTGACTGCGCTGTTTTGAATCGTTTAGTGTTTTGGTTTTAAATTTGTTGGACTTATTATGTGCATGAGAATGGTGAAATTTAATAGAAAATTTGGAAAAAAAAGAAGATTTAACCGCGGAAAAATCAAATAAGCTATCTATGAAAACTACATTATTTATATTTTCTTAGCCTAAAATCTATACTAGAGCAGGTTCAATTTTTGAAAAAAAAATAAATCCTGTATAGGTAATGCTACCCGACATTAACGGGAATAAGGAACAATTTCTATAAAGTAATTGACATATAAAATAATGAAACAGAAAATGACTGATAAGAAGTTGACTTCGTTTTTGAGGTAGATATTTAATTCGAATATGTTTTTGTGAATATGATAATAATTAATTGATATGTGTATTCGTCAAATGTTGAGCGATTTTATACTTATATTATTTTTTAACGAATACTTTAAACCTATAAGCATCGAATATTTATTTTTGATGTAATTCTGAATGACCAACCTTTCTAGATTTTAGTTTTTTTTTCTTTCAAAAAGTAATAACGTTTTTAACTCTCTCTTTTTTCGTAAAAAGTATTTTTTTTTTAATGAAAAGGTTAAACACTTACATAACATAAGTACTTAATATTTTTAGTTTTTAATTTAACTATTATAATCATATTGGAATTTGTATTTCTATCACTAATCTTTCATTTTTGATCATTTTAACAGGGGGCGGTACCCAAAGGCAATGCAACAAAGGAGATGATCAAACAGATGAGTTTCCGTGAGGGACAAGTTATATTCAAATGCACTAAATGCTGCAGTATAAAGCCGGAACGCGCCCACCACTGCTCTGTATGCCAACGTTGCATCAGGAAAATGGACCATCACTGTCCATGGGTCAATAACTGTGTGGGAGAGAACAATCAGAAGTACTTTGTGCTGTTTACGGTGAGTTTGTTGTACTAGTTTTTTCCCCTAGGTCTGTTTCCATGGTAAGTGCTTCATATAATTTGTTATGTTAGCGTGATGCACAATTTGTAGGATCGGGGGATACTAATAAAAGATTTTATAGTACACTAGCATTGCCCGCGGCTGTGCCTGCGTTCAGATGACCGAAAACCAAATCCTTAGGGTTTACATATATACTCTTACATCGCAGTTTTTGTATTTTTTCTAAGAAATGAGACGTTTTCCCGCGGTAAAAAGTATCTTATATGTTGACCCGGATAACCAGCTATCACCATACCAAATTTCATCAAAATCCCTCCAGTGGTTTATCTGTGACGCGGTAACAGACAGACAGACAAAAATTCTAAAAACTATAGATTCGGCCTCTGTATCTATAATAATGTTTATTTCAATAAGATTATCCAAAAAATATTTAATGTACAGATTCGGCTTAGTTACAATTTTATTATATGTATAGACTAATTACTATTTATTCTTCTAAAATCAGATAATACAATGTTCACGCGTCTCGTCTAGTCGTCGTTGTGCCCTAAATATTCTTCTTTTCTTTTATTCATCTTTCATTCTATACCATTTTTAAAATCTTATCATATGTCTCTCTTTTACTGTTAAAATATCATTTCACGCATACTCATCTTGTAAATCCCAGACTCGGATGTATATTTGTAATGAGATACACATTAGGGTAGAGCGGAATAAAAATATTTTTGTTTTTTTTTCTTAGCTTGGGTTGGGTGTAGAATTTATTGCTTATAAAAAAAAACAAAATTATGAAAAAAAACTTAACAATTTGAGGTGTCCCCCTGATTTTTAAAATAAATAATTAATGTAAATTTTTGTTTTGAATGAAAAAAAAAATTTTTCGCGTCATCATCTTTTTAAACATTCAAGAATTGACGAATATAGTCATTTTCTACTCAACTTTCACCGTAATACAAAGTGTTATTTTTTCAACTTTTTTTATAAATTGCAATAATGCAATATTACAGTGATAGTACATATACATATTAATAAGTATATGTGATGATTTTTTTTAATTTCTAAGTTGTGGCTATGGAGTATCAATACGACTATATCTGACCTATTATGATCACGGCATATAAAACTAAAGTAACCCACTAAATTTATAATATGTATGTATTTAAAGTTATACATATATGTGTAGCATATCAACTATCTGGTATCCATAACACAAGCCTCGTAGCTTACCATGGCACTAGATGGTGTTGTATTTTAATATCTCAACATATTTATATTATTTATTTATAATTTCTTACAGTTCTACATAGCGGCCATATCGATCCATTCGCTAACTCTATCAGGGTACCAGTTCGTCACGTGTATAAGGCACGAGTGGCGTGATTGCAGCACGTACTCGCCGCCCGCTACCGTCGTCCTCCTCCTGTTCCTTATAGCGGAGGCTTTGCTCTTCGCGATATTCACCGCAGTCATGTTGGGCACTCAGTTACACGCTATATGGAATGATGAGACGGTATGCTATCTGATTTATACTATTATACTAACGGCATACCTACCTCTTTATAATATGAGTACATATAGATTAACGGTTAGTATGAAATAGATAGACTATATATTATATATAATACTAGCACTGGTTTCAACCTAAAGGATGGATAAACAAACACACTTTTATATTCATAATACTAAGTATAGACTAGGGACTATAATAATAACCTTTGAGCCATTTAAACCTTAGTTTCTCCCCTGACCATGTGCGATGTAAAGCGTTCAAGTTTTCGACAACCAAAAATCGGATTTATTTTGATTTTTGGTTCCCAACCAAAGCAACCACCAAAAACCAAAAAAATGATAAAAAAGCGGGAAAAAATCCGAAAAAATCGTTTCATTTAAAATGTCAAATATTCGTGTAAATCAAAGAAAGTATTAGATTAAATATATAAAAATAAAAAATTAAAAAGGTGTTGGGACATTAAGATACAGCACTTACTAGGTATGCATTTAAAGTTATATTTATGTGTAGTGTATCAACTATCTGGTATCCATGACCCAGACCTCGTAGTAAGCTACCAAATAGTTGATACACTACACATAAATATAACTTTAAATACATATGTAGAATGTAGATATTATAAATATAAACACCCATGCCATGACTGCAGTACACACATTCGTGCTTATCACACAAATTAATGCTTCCTGCGGGACTCGAACCCGCGACCGCTGGTACAGCAAGTAAGATCACTACAAACTGAATCAAACGTGTCGTCAAATTATTATAATTTAATAAATTTTACAGGGTATAGAGCAATTGAAAAAGGAGCAAGCGCGTTGGGTGCGTAAGTCGCGATGGAAAAGTATACAATCTGTGTTCGGACGGTTCTCTATACTTTGGTTCTCTCCCTTCACTCAGCCATCGCCTAAGACCAAGTTGGAAAGCTACTTATACAGTGTTTAATTCCAGAATGTTCCACATAAAAGGTAATTCGCTTTTATCAATGTTCTCGGGTAATCGATTTGCCCCCGATTTCAAACAATACCAGTACTTTTATTAGGGATGGGCGATTAATTTAGTCGATTTTTTTATGTCTTATTTATCGATACAACAAATATCTGTATGGACCTAATTTAGGTATTATTTTTCTATATGGATATGTAATATCTTTTTTTAACCGAATTATTTGTTATCAACGGCCCACCCGTTTTTTTTTTCATTTACAATGTATATTGAGATGTGTAATTTATTATCTTAATTTAAAATGATGAATATATTTACACTTGACTGATGTGGTTTTCGTAGATTTAGTTATAGACGTAGCTGGGTAATTAAACTTGTATGTGTATTGTTAAATCGAATAAATTTAAATAAAAAAAATAATGTAACAAATGTTTTTATGTATCCCGCGGGATTCGAAGCTCTTTAATGTTGTATCGAGTGTAAAGTAAATTTTTGAATTAATCGATAGCAATGTTTATATTATAATAATTAATAATTCTAAATCGATTAATATTCGTAGTAGTTGAATAATGTTGTGAATTTTGAATGGTTCCATATAAAGCCCGTAAGCTACGTCTATGTATAGTGTAAGAACAAATCACTTGCATTTAATATAATAATTAATATGTTATATATTCAAAAATTGATATAATCCATTCAACGCCTTACAAATCTATGTGATTGATATCGTAATTGTCTATGAATTTTTAACCGTCTTACCACAAAAGTAGGTTTTACAAATTTTTGTCATAATTTATGTTGTTTCAAATTTTGCCGCTTAATTTATTAGACACAATTTAAAATATTTTTTTTGTAAAAGATTGATTTTCGATAAATAAAATTGTTTCGCAATTTTATATAAAATGGAAATCCGTTTCTTTTATAATTCGATTTTTTAAGTAAAATTAAGTTATTTATGTAAATAAATGGGATATAACCTTCAACGATATAAATTACAATATAATTGTATTTATATGGATATATATTTTAAGTTGAGTTAGTTACACCATTTATAACTCAAGAACGGCTGGACGGATTTTTATGATCTTTGATTTGTTAGATTAATCTCCGCCCCGAATAGCAGAATAACTATTAAAACATCGGAAAAAATCACGTTTTTTTTAATTTACATGGCTAACGCGTTAATAACTATTTATATCTATTTAAAACGTACCTAGGGACGAACCCGAGCGAAGCGAGGATGAGCCGCTAGTTTACGATAATTGTATTTCATTAGGCTGTTAGGTCTTCAGATTAAATATTAATATAGGCACCAGTGTGAGAACTAAACACGAAGCCAAACAATAATGTTTTAAAATAGTATACAAATGACAATTTGTTTACTGACTTATAAATAAATGTTAATAAACAAAAATAGCTAACGAATTTTATTTTTATAAACAAAAAATATTAAGTGTCTCTCTTTCGAGGGGAAGAGAACAAAAACCAAAGTAAAAAAATCCATATAGCAAGCGATCGCTTTTGATTTTAACCTTAATGCTGTCAAATGCAAGGGTTGTCAAAAAAAAAAAACAATTTTTATGGTGAACTATTTTGCATTCTATGTGACATTGGCCAAGTAATCTGTGCTCAACTGTCACGCTTAGAAGCCATTAACAAAAGAATTGAATTGAATAATTTTAAAGTTAACACACTCTAGTGCAATCTTGTTGCAAGTTGCACTTATAAGTGTCAACCCTAAAGACAATTCCCAACTGTCATATAAAAGAAAAATCGTTACACGACTGTGACCGTCCCTCTACTGTCCAAACCAACAAACACATTATTATTTTAAATATAAATAAACAATATTAGAACCTGCATTAATTAATTATATATTTCCTTTTTAACCTATTTCAAAAGGGGGTACTTAATTTGGCTGTATTTTTGTGTATGTTACTCGCGTAACATACACAAAAATACATCTCAAAAATCATCATCATCATCACAAAAATATATCATCATATATCTTCGTAAATTGTGAATCGATTTCTTTTTTTAATCATAGCTTAATATACTATGTATTTATAAAAAAAAAGAATTGGGAAGATATTATTATTAAATTTCACCCTAACGATAAAATTAGTCTCTAAAAAATCCTTAAAAAATACTTTTTTAGTGATTTTTAGTATTTTTTTTATATACATATGATTATAATATTTTATCCTACTTTTGTGGTAATTCTGGATTTATATCAAAGTAATAAACGTGATTCATTCGGGCACACGATACTGAGTATTGCTCAGTATGTAAATTATAGATATACTTGTGTCTATATCTGTATTGATATGTTAGAGTTTTATCATTTTCTATGGATTAGATACAATATTTGACGCGTATGTATCTCGGTCTTTCATAATACATTTAAATTTAATTTTGCATACTTTACTTATATTTTAAAAAAAATGTCAAATTTTAATTCGTTCATCAATCAATCGTTTTTTTTAATTGTATGATATTAGTTTTAAGGCAGTGGTAACCCAGTGGTAATGCGCTCACTTCGGAAATCGAGTGAAACGGGTTCAAATTCCGGGTTTCGCACCTCTGATATTTCCATATGCGATCATTTCTTACATGATTACCACTTGCCTTACGGTGAAGGAAAACATCGTGAGGAAACCTGCATGTCTAAGAGAAACTAGCAACAGCAAGTTTTCGAAAGATATGCTCAGTCCGCCCACACTTGTCCAGTGTGGTGGACTATGGCCTGATCCCCTTCGTATATTGAAGGTGGACCCACCCGCAGTAGTGGGACTTTAAAAAATGGCTGAATACATATTAGACTTAAATGCTTACCTAACCACCTGTAAGCAGTAACCCATACTCCATTTCACCTATCACTGTTCAATTCATACTGTACATTTTTGTCTATTGGTCAACTTAAAAAAAAAAACTTTTACTAAAATCACTAAAAGGATTTTAAAACAATATTTTAAACTCATTGCCGTACAAAATCGGGACCAATATTTTGTTAGCCTAAAAGCGTCTCAGTCTCTATTATAGTACGCAGAGTGCCTTTAATTTTATAACTGGTCGATCCAGCAATCTTTTATACATGTAGATATATTGTCAAGTTAAAAACAATGATCATACTTGTCATTTATATGTAAAATCATATAAATTATAATTAATTTAATTATTTTTCTTTATAGTTGTTATGTAATTCACAATTTGGCGTTACACAGCTCATTATATTTAAGTATCGACGGACGTGAGACGATAGATTAATAATATATAATTGATTGTCATTTACTTGTATTATGAAAGACATATATACATTTCAAATATCGAAGATTTACTCTGAGTAAAGTTCAAATCACTAAATATTTTAAGTATTTATAATGAATAATGTAAGTGTACAGTGACGCTTAAAATCGTTGTATAGCATCGAGAAATTTGTCTTTGACGCAGATACGTGTAGCAAGTTCATTCAATTAATTCAATTAAAACAATGTATATATACCGTTAAACAATTCAATTCAATAAAACAAAGTATATATACCGTTAAACAATTCAATTCAATAAAAACAAAGTATATATACCGTTAAACAATTCAATTCAATAAAAACAATAAAAACTATATATACGGTTTAAAATAAAGGGCGCGGTTTCGTCCCCGGAGTGTATCAAGCTTCATTTTATTGTATGAAACCAGTAATGAGACATATGAGAGGGAAAGAACTATGAAATATTTTTTCACGTGACAAAGGAAAAATTGTTTTGCAGGTTTTTTTTGAGTAGACATTTTCTTTATTATACAAAGTTAAATTGAAGTGCCTGCTTGTAATGTCAAAATAACAGCTTTTTACTAAATGAATATGAAAATATATACGGTATTAATAAGAAAAAAACATTTTGTTTAATTTTTGTCTGTCTATCTGGCTGGTTGTCGGTTTGTTCCGGCTAATCTCTGAAACGGCAGGACCGATTTAAAGAGAACTTTCACTGGCAGATAGCTGATGTTATAAGAAGTAACTTAGGCTTACTTTTATTTTAGAAAAAGAGTCAGGATTTCGCGCATAAAAATTAAAACCCAAGAAATTGTGAACGAAACCCGCGTGCCCGAGCGAAGCAAGGGCGAGTCGCTAGTTTGAAATAAGACCGTATGTTGTATGATGAGAACGAATAAATAACTTAAAGCAATGCTTGAAGTTTCGTTCAGATTCATATTGCTGCTTATTATTTAAATAGATACAGCTTTTTTTAACTGTCAATTACGTGTATATTCTCATAATATATAGTGAATGCTTTTAACATGAAGTCGTCATGAATTTTGTACACGTGTCTGCCTTAATATATAAAAACGAAATTAATCTAAACTAGAACAAAGTATGTAGTACGATCTCCTTTATTCTCGTTTTTTAAGGTTTTTTGTTCCTCTTATACGCTATTAATACTACGGCGTATTTATTTTTTTACAATTATACGAAATGTTAAATAATTGTTCGCGAATTTGCCTTTTTATAACAAAATTCTTTAACATTAACGTTCCGTATAACGCTTTATGCAGCTTAGAAGAAAAGAAACAAATATTTTTTTAACAATATTGATTCTGTGTCCGTTTCCGCGATTACGATGTTCCAGGATCGATTTCTCCCGAATAATCGATTTCACTATGTAAAGTAGTTGCAACTGCGACCCGGATATTTATGTTTAGTCATTTAATTTGTGATTATGTCTTAGTTTTGGGGCTGCCCTCGTAGGTTAGATGTAGTGAAAATACAATTCTAAAATGAGCATAGTTCACGTATACGCTTTTACTTTTTACTAGATTAAAAAGTATAAGTACCTTATTTCAACGGTCTACGGTCATATATAAAAAAATTGATATTAATTTATTAGGGTGCACGTTTACTTTGCTTAGACTTAGTCTTTCACGTAGGTCTAGACTTAAGGGCAAGGGAATTGAGTTAACATTACATATTTGGTGTGTGAACAATATTGCTACAAATTAATTA